GTTTATTTTCTCTCATAATTCTATGTTTAAACAAAAAGTGTAAATGAGACTGAAGGACATGTTTGGGCTCACGGGAGAGTTTGTTTTTTTCTTAATCATAGTCGCTATGAGGAGCATAAACTTTAATTTTAAGAAGTATATTGTTTCTTTTTGTCATGCAAATCAGTATCGGTAGCACTGTTAATTCAGATGCCTGAAAATGTTAAGTTCTTTTTACCTACGGAATGGATTTGCACTCTGTTTGGTCCAGTGTACTGCTCACCAAAGGCCTCTGAGGCCCTGTTCCCTTCAGCTGTACCTTGGAGAGCCTGTCTACGTGGGGGCTGCACGTAAAACTCTGCACTGGGCTCCACAGGGGCCCTACATGGAACCTTACATTCGAGACCTGATGTTCACTGTATTTCCCATTATTGTTACTGGAATCATGGGGCCCAGCTCACAGGTGGTGTGACATGTCAGTGTTTTGACATTTGTGCTGTCCCAGGGCAAGGGAGCTTTCCCACTTGTTTTAATGCCGAGGTGTTTCAGTGATTTCGAAATCCCCTCCCCTCCCCTCCCCTCCCCTCCCCTTTCCTTCCCTTTCCTAAAGCAGAGCAAATTGAAGGCAAGGGTCTTTACCAGACCCACCTTTACTCTTGCTCATGTGCATTCCGATTGCTCTTTTAAATGGAAGAAAAAAGGCATGGAATTGCCACAAGCCCCCAGGGAATTACGATAACTGGTACATGAGACTGTACCCCTCATGTGAACATCGTTTGTCATATGTGACAGAGCAAATAAAAGATGGGGAATAGCTGGCCTGCATGACCTGTTATATGGAACAACTTTAATCTTTTCACTCACAGTTTTTTCTTTTTTTTCATCAAGTAAGTCTAGATCAATGCCTTTGTGAATGGGTTTCTTTACAAAGCACTGTCTGAGCTACAGAATAGTACAGTGTGTAATTATATGACAGATTCAATGAGTATCAATAAGTTTAAATTATTTTTAGATGCATTACCTCTAGGAGTAGAATTGGTATAGGTTTTTCAGTAATTGCATTCGTGAGCAACACGTGACTCTTGCTGTAGTTCTTTTTTGTTTTGCTGCTGCACCTAACTTGTTCAAAGAATGTTTCACATCTTAATGAGTATTCAGCGTGAAGTGATCCTAAAATTCATCATTTGTTCTTTGCTTCTACTAGAATTAACATAGATAATAAATAAATAAAATTTTGCTGGAACCTCGTCATTAGGAAGCAGAAATATTTAAAGGCTAAGGATGTCAGGCTAGTGGTGTTGGAAGACTTTTTTTTCCTAGTCTGGATGAACCCGATGAATTTTCAGGGGGAGGGATAATGTCACTTATTTTAAAAGTAAGTCAATAAAAAGGCAAACAGTGCTCACATTCCTAGGTCCCAGCTCCTGCCTCCCTCCCTTTCAGGAGTGGTTTCCAGGTGGCCTTCTGCGTTTGATGTCTGGATGCCCAGCCTGCTTGAATGACAGCACGCGCTAATGCTCTTAGCCCAGGCATCTTCCCTGACTAGTTTCCATGCCACCTTTTCTGTCATCCGGTTCCTCCCTTGTGGTCCTAGTTCAGAACTCTTGCTGGCCTGGCATCAGAGGTTTACAGCTGGCCCACGTTGGAAAGGGTGTTTTAGACCTCAGTTGAGACAGACAGCTTCTGTTTCGGGCTTCTTTCCATAACACATGAAGAATTGTAATTAGATTTTTTAAATGGACCCCTTTTTTTCCTCTGTGTATTCTTGGTATTTACATCCCATAGATTTTGTTGGAGTCCTTTTGCTCAGCAAATGATAGTCATCTCAGTCTGATTTGGGGGTATCCACAGCCTTTTCCTTGCTTTCCTTCTTTTGCACCTCAACAAGGATTGTTTCTGGTGGCTAGCTCTGTTTATGTTTGGTGGGGGTACTTCTCAGACTTGGCTCTGGCTCCCTGAACCCACTGAAATACTTGGGGGAGGATGTCCAAGGAGTCCATGGTGAACCGCAGGTGTTTCAGTGGCGGGCTGCTGGGCGGCATGGATGGAAGTTCCACCGGCCGTGAGGGGGCTCACAGGTCTCTGTTCTCCCCTTTTGCCATGACAGGAGACATCCATGGAAAGCAGTTGTTTTTTAACCTAATAGGAGACAGGCTGCAACCATGGTGTGTTGGCTGTAGTATGCATCTAAAATGTGTCTTAAAAATGTGTTGGAAGCACTGCATCCCTCATGCCCAAACAGCTGTCTCTGAGCTGGTGGCTGTCCTCTTACGGGTCCCCCCCACCCCCTGGCCTAAGCCTGCTCACTCTTGTGCCATGTGCCACAAAGAGATTTACCTCCCTGTGATAGACTGTGTGTGTGTGTGTGTGTGTGTGTGTGTGTGTGCGCGCGCGCGCATGCATTCAGTGTCCTCACTGGCCCACATGTAGGATCATGTCCTTGCCCCTTCTCTTCCATATAGGCCTGAGGCCACTTGGCCTCTTGGGGAAGTGGGTTCCTTACTGCCTCAGTGTTACACTCCATTCCTGGGCTCCTGAAAGCCTCACTTCTGTTGAGCCTTTGGAATAGCTTGCTCCACTGTGCTGGGATCTGCAGCCTCGCAATCCTTCACCATCCAGGCACTGGCAGAGTGCTGCCCACATCTGAAAGGGCTGCTTTCACTCCCTCCCTGGAGGATAGCTATCATGTGACTCCCATTCTGGAGGGAAAACTCTTACTCATCAATATCCCATGCACCTCGGTGAGGCCCTGCCCCAGAGTAGAATTTTTTTAAAAAATCCTGAAAGATCATTGCATGAATAAATGTGTGAATGAATTATTTCCTTGCCTTTTATCAACTCTTTTCTTTCATAGTGTAATGCATAGAAATTAAGGCTTTGATAATTGTATTGTACTTCAAAAAATAAAATTACATGTTCGATGAGATTAGAGCTCACGAACATCTAATGATAGGACTTGTTTCATAGCAGTAAAGCATCCTTGAAAACAGTGAAAACGGCCGTGGTCCTATGGATTTGCAAATGGAACTGGAAAGTAGATTTTTCAGCAATGATGAACCCCTCCGTTTATATGTCTGTATTTCTAAGTTTGGGGAATTAAAGAACTTACTTGTTTAGCTGTTTTCAAGATAATGGGTTTAGAGTTAACAGGAGACAATTTAGCCACATGTAGCTAATTATTAGTGTAAAAAGAAACTGTGAGTAGAAATCTTTATGTAAGCAGACCCAAAGGGTCTTGATTACTTATTCTGGAGTGGTGGTGGGATTCGTCTCACAATCAAGGCCTGAGTGACAAAATGAAAACTCATTTTAGGGTGAGAGCCAAATCCAGGTGGATTTTAGCAAATGCCTGCTTTTTAAAGGATGCAAATGTTCAGGCTCTCACCGCAGTCTCTTTGAACTGGAAATCACAATGATAATGAATGAAATTGCTGGAGGACACATCTTTCCTTCAGAGGAAATTTTGAGCCCTGTTTTCTGTCAGGTTTCATTTGCAGAACAGCTTACTTACTAATTTTTTTGAAGATCCTAAGGAAGGCTTTTTAACAATAGTAAGATCAAGTTAGCACTGCCTCAAAACGTCACATTGTAAGGAACTTTTAAAAACAGCCCTGAAGAGATGCAATATTCATGTTGTACGTTGACAGCACCGGATCTGTACAGGCTGTTGTTTTTCTGGCTGCACACACGATGCTGTGCTTCCAGTTTGTACCAGGGAGCTGCCTGGCGTGCAGAGTGGTGTGGTTCCACTTGCTCACGCTCAGTTGCAGGACACACTGGAAATTTCTCTCTTGCTGGGATCAGTCCTCTGAACTCAAAAGAATTAGATACATAAAAAAAAAAGTAAACCCGAGAGTATGGTGAGCATCTAGGATCAGAACATCTAAATGATCAGAAATGTGGGTTATGTAAATACAACCGTAAGGAAGAAAGTTGACCGGTTTAAGGCAGGGCATTACCAGCAACACTCACATGTGATCAGGTAGCTACGAGTGTGGTGAGGGATGAAAACAGGCAACTTGGCATTTTTGTTAGAAAGCCTAGAAGCTTTTTTTTAAAAAGGTAATATGCTATGAAATGTCACCATCTCCCAAGTTGGTCCTGTCCCTTAAAGAAGGAACACATCAAGTGCCGAAAGCGCTGGAAACTGGGAAAAGGCGAAAGGAGCCGGAGTCTTCAGTCTGGAAGGGCAGAAGCAGTTAGAGCTGGTTGGGTCTTAATGCTATGTTCGCGCCACATGCTGCAGAGAGTAAATGACTTAACCTGGACCATGGGGAAATTGGGCCGATGGAGGGGGGGATGTGACAAGTGTGTCAGCACAGGAGCTTTTGGGTCATTTTATAACTAGGATAGGTTATCCAATTGGATGGGCATTCTGAGGGCAGAAGTGGGGACTCGTTACTTCTTCCACTTTCTTACTGTAATACACATTTGCGCAATTGGTATAGTTTACAACGCACTTTAATATGTGTAGTGTTTTTGCAAAAATCTCATCAGCAGCCTTGTCAGAAAGGCAGTGGTTTCCACCCTCTTCTCCCCCCCCCCAAACACACACACACACACACACACACACACACACACACACAGTGCACATGAAGATCTAAGGCCTAGACAGTTAGAGGGGCGTTGCTTGTNCACACACACACACAGTGCACATGAAGATCTAAGGCCTAGACAGTTAGAGGGGCGTTGCTTGTTAGCACAGCCCCATTCTTTAAAGGGTAGAATTATGTCTCTACCTGTCCTTCAGTGGAATGGAATGTCCTTCACAAAAGCACGTGAATAGTTCCTTAAATTGAAAATATGAACCTCACTGTATGGACCTCACAACTCACTCTAAACCTAATAGTTCTGCCTCCAGGGAAACTGAATAGGCGTTTACCCATGGAAAGCAGAATGGATCAATGTTTGCTTCCCAAAGTGCTTCGTTTCATGGAAATGTTACAAATCGGGAAAGCGGGTTAAGAAGGACCTTTTCTCTAACTCCCCTGACAATCATGACGGACTTCTTTCTTTTTTAGAGTGAAGATCTGCTGTCTGGCTTTATCACCACGACATCACACATCAGAGAATCCCATAAAAAGAAGATGCTCAGCATTTTTTTTCTAACCTGAAGCTGCTTACAATTTTTCTTTTGGACCTGAGCAATTACTAGGTTTTGAGACATCTGTGACTTTATTAAACGTGGAACCAACCAACAAGGCAAGAACACATGCCTCGCTCGCTTGTTCCCATACGGGGCATTCATCCTTGTGCTGTTTGTGTTGTTTTTTGTTTGTTTTCTTAACACAATTTGCCGAAGAAGTTATTCTCCAAAAAATTGGATGTGTTCATTGGCCTTATCAATTGTGGCCAGTGTCTTAATTTCTCTTTACTTTCATTTTGGCAAAGCAAATTTGTCCCTCAGCATGCTAGGTGATTCTACCAATACCCATTAAAGTGGTAAAATCTGGTATTTACTGGCATACACTCGAAACTACCACAGTCCTACCTCAGTTCCAGGTAAAGCCGGATTTGTGTGGTTAGGGGCCGGCAGGACCTCCTGTGTATCTCTGCTGAATGTGTCGCAAGTGTGGTCATCAGCCTTATTAAACTGGTTCCAGTACACAGCTGCTTGTTGGACTCCAATCCAGGTACTTGCGTGTTTACTCACAGACAGAGCCCAGTATGGGACTGACAGTTCTCAATTGAAATGAAATTTGAGATTGGACTTTGAAGATGGATTAATAAATAATAAATATATGTAACTGAAGCAACCTACTTTTGAAAATCATCAACTGTATGATTGGGTAGTAGGGGTTGGGGGGAGGGGTTTGGGAAGGGGGTGAATATCTCTTTTTACCTTTAACAGACTTGGTGAATCTCTCTAATGTAGATGTTTATGTAGGTACTTCAAATTGCAAAAGCCTTTGATCCTATTTACAAGCTCAAATGTCTCTGCTATCCTTAATCTTGAGCTTGCATTTCTTTAACCAAAAATTCACGTAGGCATGTTAGCAATTCAAGGGTGGTCACCGGTTTAGCAGATTTTAAAAAAAATGTATTTATTATCTTTACTCTAATGTTATCGTGTGGGCCACGAGGCTGCCCTGAACAACAACAAAAAGAAATAAAAAGGAAGGAAAGAAACTGATAAAAGAGCCATTCTGGCCCCTGTGTTATTAATGGAAAAAGAAGAAAAACAATCTCACAGGACATGTCACTTGTGGAAAAATTCCTGACAAGACTACCGTCGTTTTTCTGTTTTCAGTGTTCTGAAAATACCAGTGTTGTGGCGATTATCACAGGTGTCACCTAAAACTGCTGCCCTTGACCAGCAGAATGTCACGTCATCTCGCTGCTCCCTTGACACGTGATGGAGGGCTGTAGACCTTTTTCTCCCATGGGTGCGTCCCCAGTGCCTATCTTCTTTGATAGTCCTGTAGAGGTTACACTAGTTCATTGGAGGTGTGAGCTTTTTTTTTTTTTTTTTTTGGAGAAAAAAAAATATATAAATATATAGATATATATCACTATAGAATAATGCATTAATAAAAATGAGGCTTTTTTAAGAGGAAGACCAAAAAAATTCAATGTCTTAAAAATATATTTAATGGCAATGCAAAAGTCTTCCTGCTTCCATGCTGAACTTTTAGAACAGAGGATTGTATTGCAAGACAAAGTTGAATGTAAAGTGATCCCCCTGAACATTTTTAAAGTTTTACTTTTCTAAAATTACACATCACAACAGTGCATAGACCATACAATGTTAGTTTGAAGGTCAGTTTCCGTGTATAATATATATACTTTATAAAAATGTATAAAATGTCCTAAAGTTTTGATTTAGTTTTGGGTCTAGGAATGGTTGGGTGGTATTTGCTTTGTAACGCTCCCCAGGTACAATAGAACTGAATATGGACCCCACTGAATACAGTGTATGGCGCGTATTTAAGTAGTTCTCTATACTTAGAGTAGTCATGCCACTATACAAATGGTTCATGTTCATACTGCAACTTACAACAAGCAAAATAAAAAGTTGATAATATACTAAATTTTTCTCTATCCTGTACATTTCAAAAAAAAAAGGCATATGCAATATTTACATTTTTAATTTAGTTTACAGAATGGAACCAAAATGTATAAATGTTATGTTTGCTAAAACTTCACAATGTATATTGGGTCTTTGTACATTTTGCCTGACTTACCTTAAATTTAAAATATTTTTTGCTATATAAACTTTAACAGTTATTAAACAGTGTTTTCTTTTGGGGTACGTATTGTTTCTGGATATCGAGATGTTAAATATATTTCTTGCTATTGTGATATGACAAAAGACTTACCTTATCTTGCTCTGTCTTCCACTGTACACGCTGTATATAAGGGTCAATGTGACGCTGCTGGAGACAAGAATAAATGGAACTAGAATAGTGCATTGTATTTAGTCTGTATTGATCATGGATGCTCTCCTTAATAGCCATATGCAATAAAATAAAATACATTATTTATGAAATGAATGAAGTCTTGAGAATATTTTTTTTATGTGGATTCTTAGTTTAACAGAAAGCTGCTTTACTGGTGTTTTGGAGTAAATAAGTAAATATTTGGTTCCTAAAAATACTTTGACACCTCTTAGTTTGAAAATATTTATTCTGGGAACCAGGAAATACTCATTGATCACAAAATTTATGAAAAGTAAAAGTGTTAAAACAAAAAAGACTTTGTTTACTTTACAAAACAGAACGCTTGCAAGGTGCTGGGTGCTGTTCTAAATGCTGGACAAATATTAAATCCTGTATAGCTCACAAGAACCTCAGTTGGTAGGAAATCACCATCTGCATTTTCTTGATGAAGAGACTGAGGCACAAAGAGATTAAATGACTTGGAGGACACACAGCTCCTGAGAGGCAGAACCAGCAGTCACACCCAGAAGTGCAGCCTCCAGGATCTGTGCACTTCTGTCCTCTGCCAAGCAGCCGCCCAGAAATGCACACACAAGGATTAAACCGATGCACACACACATCAAGAAGACAGAAGTAAAGACATCAGAGCCAGGAGATGTAATTTAGGAGGCAGAAAATATAAAAAAGGAAGCCTGTTGATTTTTATCAAGGATAATTCTACTTCCTTGTTAGAAATAATGTTTTTATACCTCCATTTTACCCTAAAATTATAGTAATGCAATAACATGGGTGTCATCTCTGTTGAACAAATAAAAGCAGAGGAACTTGGAAGCTTATTTTAAAATAATGGCTCTTAATTCATGTGACTGACATGCACTAGGTGGTATTTGGGGACTTGTAGGTGACAGTGTGGTCTGTGTGTGCCCAGACGGATTGTTCTGAGGGCTCTTGTTAGGCACAGAAGGAGGCAAGGTGAGTCCCTGAAATGTGCTGACCAATTTAATGTTGAAAGAACAAAGGACGGATGCCATTCTAGAGGAATCGATGCCATTCTGGGAATCAGCAAATGTATTTACCCAAAAGAACCAACGGTAAATAAAGACGTGAGTAGTTGTTTTAAAGAGCCTTAGATCCTGGAAATGTTCACTCAAAGCCAGTTTATAAACTTTTAGGAGGAGACTAAGTGTTACACGACATGAAGATGAAAGAAAGATCACACTGCATTGACTTGGAAGGTTAACTCTCACCCATTGATGATCTCTGTGGTTAGCTTGGAAGATGCAAATGGGCTTATGGTGCTGTCATATTCGAAAGTCCAATATCTTTGAGCTGACCTGCAGGATCATACCTAGTTTCTCTTGAAGCCATAGGCCCAGGTTAAATACCACTTAGCAAGTTTCCAGGTTGACTTGAACAGACTGTTCCTTCACTTATGCATCCAAGCGGACCAGATGTACTAGTATTTGAGTGATGCAGCATTACTTACAGCAACTCTTGGATGCTACCAGTTGAAGGACACTGCATAATTGTTTCTTTTAAAATACACAGTATCTTCATCATTGCTCTAGGAGGGCAGCTCTTCCATATTTCTCTGATTTATACAACTAAGTGAAATATGTTTACAATTCTTGGTTTGGCAATGATCTCTATATGGTCCCTCTATATAACTACATAGTGTCGTGTTTTTGACACTTCGAAAGCACTGAACATCCCTTCAGGATCTGTTAACATTTTGACTCAGCTGTGTCTCTGTTCTTGTCTCTTCAGCCTGTTGTCACCTCACAGCTTTAAAGGACCCTGTGTAGCAATTTGGTGGTTTCCTTAGCACCTCCTCGATCTGATGCTGTAATTACTTTGCTTGAATCCACCTGAGCCCTCAAGCACTCGTGGCCTTTTCCACTGCATGTAGAAAAAAATTCTACTCTCTTCTGGGCTCTGGTTCCTCTGAGGTGAGCTGTATCTCCTGTTTTTCTTTTCCCCCCTCTATTTCAGAATTTCCTCCTTTCATCTTGGAACTCTAAAAGCTCTAAATTCTTACCAAAATTCCTTATACCTTTAGAAACTTACCTCAACTCTTGACCAGGCTACCTGGGTGGCCCCAACACGTATCATAAAATGTACAACATTTTCCCATCACTCCAGACTTTCCCATCCATGACATTGTAAATTCTAGGATGACTTTGATATAAAACAAAAATACCAAATTGAGTTTCTCAGAAAAGGATACATAAAATACAATACAAGTAAGCTGCATGAGGTAGGATGTGTTTAGCTGCAAATCATAGAAAACCCAATTCAGTGATTTAAGCCAGTGGTTCTCAAATGTTGGGGCTTATCAGAATCCCCTGGAGTGCTTGTTAGACCAGTTCGCTGGGCCCACTCCCAGACTTTCTCTTCAGTAGGTCTGGGTGGGGCCCAAGAGTCTGTGTTTCTGACAATTTCCCAGGTCATGCTTATGCTGGTGGTCTGGGACCACACTTTGAGAACTACTAAACAGTAAAGGAATTTATTATCTCATATAGCAAGAAGTTCAGGGTTGAATTAATAAGGCAGCTAAATGACATCATCAGGGGCCCAGGATCTTTTCATCTTTCCACTCACTCTGCCATCCTCAGGATCTCGACTTTTATCTCTCAGGCTTGTCCCCTCATGTTCATAAATTGATTATAGCAGCTCCAAACAGTATATCCTGCCATAATAATATCCAATAGAGACAGTCTCTCTTCCTTGGGTATCTTTTTGGAGTGATGAAAACAGTTCCAGACCCACCCGCCTCCACCCAGTTCTGCCCAACTTCCATGACCAGAACCCAATCCCATGCCCATTGGTCCTTAGGAAAGGAGGCTGTGCTGTGGCTGATTTACACTAAAAGAGATTCACTCTCTAGCCTGGGAAGAAGTCAGCATCCCACGAAGCACAAGGCTGCGAGATACCGAACAAAAGGTGGGAGGTGTCCCATTGGGAGACAGTGTTTGCTATGACTGGAGAAAATGAACGTGTGATCAAAACCCTTTTCAAATGCAATTACACCTCAAGTGTGTTCTCTCCATTCACGGTGCACATACAATGTCCACTGATTTTGAAAAGGTAGATTTGTAATAAAGTACAAGTAGAAAAAATGATTAATTTAGAATTACCAGAAACAATAGTGATGCTGGCTTATATTTACAGAATTGTTATTTTCAAAACCTCAGACGTAATTCTACTACTGTGTTTTTCATGTATGTTTGTTTTTCTTATTGAATTCTGTGCAATATTGGAAGCTATTTTATGAAAGATTAAGATTCAAAGGATGGAAAATTGGACCTTTGAAGGTGCATTAAAGAGCAAGGAACATTTAGGTTGGAAAACAGAAAGCTGTGGTGATTTATCGGCATCAGTTACATTAGAGGCTGTGATAAGAAATGATTTGTCAGCTGACCTTCTCGAAGGAAGATATAACCAGAAAAAGGGACAAAAGACAGTGAGAACAATGTGTTCATTTTCCACAAGAAAAAATTTGATAAAAAGACTATTAAATACCAATATTGATGTCCAAAGAATTTTAGATTTTAGATTACATTCCTTGGAGGCCTTAAAAAAAACAGGACTTGGTAGCCCTTTTTCTTTGAAGGGAGAGTGGAAGGTAGTCCATACCAACTCAACTAGTCTTTCCCACTGGGGCCTCCACATTTCACCACTCCAGAGACAGTAGTGTCCCTCTCCTTGGTGCTCATGTCAACAGCTCCCTTGCCTTGTGCAGGGCACAACCTGAAAACCCATATGTCCTGTTCTGTTTCACATCCTGGCATCTCTGAGGATAAGCACACTACTTAGCACTGAATTTCAGTGGCAAAAAGAGAATTATTATAGTGTGCCTTAGACCTAGTTTATTCTGTAATGAAAGTATGTGCCAAAATAGCATTGAAGAATCTGAAGGAAAGATCTAAAAACTTAAAGGACAGATCAGGATTTTAGGTGAATCTCAACTGTTGTCTCGCTTTGTAAAATCATGCTGAAGGCGCATCTCTAATTCATGTTACTTCAAGAGATTATATAAAACATGGTGCAGCCAAAGTGACAAAATGATCTTTTCTTTAAGATTTTTATCGAAAAATAGAGCTAACATACATTATATCAGTTTCAGGTGTATACCATAGTTGTTCAACATTTATATACTTAAAGAAGTGATCACCATGATAAGTCCAGTAACCATCTGACACGGTACCACACTATGACAATATTATTGACGATATACCCCATGCTGTATATTTCATCTTCATGACTTATTTGTTTTATACCTGGAAATTTGAAACTCTTATTCCCCTTCACCTTTCACCCCTTTTGTAATTTTTCAATTACAGTTAACATTCAATATTATTTTATATTAATTATAGGTGTACAGTATAGTGGTTAGACATTTATATAACTTAAGAAATGGCCCCTGTATCTAGTCTACTACTCACCTGGCACTATACATACTTATAGTTCATGAGCATCCTTATAAACATTGTTTTGAACTCTGTCTCTGGTAGGTTACTTGCCTCCATTTTGTTTATTTTATTTTTTTTTGGAGTTTTCTCCTCTTATTTTATTTGCGATGTATTTATTTGTTTCCTCATTTTGGCTGCCTCTCTGTGTTTGTTTCTATGCATTAGGTAGGGCTGCTCTGTCTCCCAGTCTTGGCTGGGTGGCCTTATGTAGTAGGTGCCCTGTGGGGCCTTGACACAGTCTCCCCGGTCACCTGTTCTGGGTGCTCCAGGAGTATCCCTTGTGTGGGTTGTGTGTGCCCTCCTGTTGTGCTTGAGCCTAGATTGCTATTGGCATGTCAGTAGGTAGGATTGACCCCAGGTTGACTGGCTGTGGGATTTGGCCACATCCATAGCTTATGGGCTGCTAGGCAGGGAACTTACTCCACTGAGGGGGATTTGCCCCAGTGGGCTCTGTTGAGATCACCCTTTGGGTGTGCAACTTGTGAGGCTAATTGAGTTGTGTTCTGCTGTGGTCTGAAGCCAACCTCCAAGTATAATATTTTGGTTCTGGGGCCTGTTGGGAGGGACTCCAATGCAGGCCCAGGTCATTCACAGCCTCTGACTGGCCGGATACCAGCTAGTAGGAGCCATGGTTGATTGCTG